GAGAAAACGTACCTGACAAGTGGAATTCACAACCAGTTTGTGTCGTTCTGAGAAGTGACTATTCCTTGTAGTATAGTACTTTTAAGAAGCCTCCTCTGAAGTTGATGAATATTTGTGGTGCCTTTTTTTACCGATGCAAACACAGACAAACATGTAGCAGTGAATTTCTTGCACGCACTATTTTCATGGTTTTCTATCATCCTAAGGGTAGATAAAGGAGTGTTACTTGCCTAAATGAGCTTTCTTGTGAGTACGCAGCATAGAATGGGGATAGTTTAACAACACCTTTCCCTTCTAACAAACTACGAACATGAGAAGTGAAGCAAATCTTCCATGGTTCCTGTTTTTCTACTTAATATTGCAGAAGTCTTTGGTTTTGAAGAAAAGATAGGTTTGTTTTGTTTAAAAAATATGCATTTTAAATAAGTTATCAGTTGACATTTAAGCACTTTAAATAAGGCTTATTTCTTCTCTTCCCACCTGTCAGAGTGTAATATCACAATTAAACAAAAAAAGATAATTACAAAGCAATATTTGTTAAGTGTAAAAGTTAACACCCTACTTATCACTTATAAGTAGACACCCATAACGCCGTCACTTGGGCGATTTTCTTGATTATTTGACTACCAACTTGTAGTTCACTTTTCCCCCTAATGCCTAGATTTAGTGTTATGGAAGACCAAGGGCATCAGTGATTGCAATTTTTTGCTTGATTACTTCGAAAACTAGCCCACATTGCTTCCCTCTCTCACCCGAGGCTAATCATCCCTTCTTTCAGTTTCTTAACCACCCCTCGTTATGCAAATCACATTGTACTCCCTGCCTAATTTTTTAGGGAGTGATTTGGTCTTAATATTTAAAACTGCTTTTTGTGGCCTAAACTGCTATCTGGTTTTGGTTGCCCTAGTAACGTACTAGCGAGTCAAATGTAACATTACAAGCCAACGAAAAGCTTCTGGGTACTTGCTAACCGGGAGTGTGAGAAGACTAAAACCAAGTTTCTTTACCAAATAAAAGATGAATAGGCCTGGGTAACAGTTTCAATCAAATAAAATCTGTTTTACTAACTGAATTAACTTGATGAAGTTTTAAAATCTATCTGAATCAAAACACACTACTTCACAATACTGGCACTTGATTTACTTTCGGTCCTCGTTTATTCCTCCTTCCCATAATTTTTTTTAAAAATGTAAAATAGCTTAGTACTTTAAACTCAATTTGTCCATTTTTAGGCCATGCCCTCTGATTAATTAGGTAGGGGTAAGCCCGATCGTACAGCTAAGTGTCAAACTAAAATACACCCACGGATATAGGGAAGGTCCTGGTAATAATAAAGTCCCAACTTTAAGATTTAAGATTTTCATTTTTCTTACTTCCTTTGTAACTAAATTAACTAGTACAACACAACTTCTCCTTCTTGGGGTGAGTAGTAAGAAGTGGTGCTGATACCTTCCTTTGATGCATTAATACAAAGTGGTTTGGCTTTTTTGAGCAGAACATGAGTTGGTTTAAACAAAACAAATAAGTGCAATTGTCAATCAATGTTTTCGCATCATAGAGTGGTCAAAAGTTTGCAAAATGTGTTGGGTGGGAGTCAAATTTGGAACATTGCAAAAATATTTGCTAATCTTTTTAACTACTTACTTCAACGCTTCAAAGTAAAAAGTAAAAATTATTTTCATATTTAAACATATTTTAAGGTTAACTTTTTTCTTGAATATTATACTACACTTAGAGCTACAGTAATGGAGATTTGGCTACTAGAATCTTCCCTGATGTGGTGATAACCCAGAGTTTTATGGCGGATATACTACTTACAAATTAGTAGTAGGTCTGGGAACCAATCCATTAGCACAGCTAGAAGGCCATGCTTGCAGAGTGGGTGAATGACCTGTGGAAACTGCAGTGTCCATGTTTTTAAACACACACTGAAACAAAATGTCAAACCACTGCTAAATTACATCCAACTGCCACCCAGTTTATCATTCTTACAATTTTCATGTGAAATATCGTATTTCTGGATGAGTATCTTCCTCGGCTACCAAAATAATACCTTTTTCAGGATGTAAGAACAAAGAAGCTTAGTTACTAAGCCATTTTTAAATGGGTAGAATGCAATTTGGTGGGAGCCGATAGGTATTAACAATGAACAATACCTGCAAACCTGACCAAGCCCTGCACCTGATTAGTTCACTAGGAAAAGCTCTGCTGAAAAGGAAGTTTCTTAGTCACATCCATCCGCAATATCGTTGGAAAGGTCACACAATATATCATAGTACTTGTTTTGACCGCAAATTCAACTCCGTGGTGACTCTTCGGTCTCTGCTCTCTGTACATTGCTGTGATGTAGTATTGCCTCGTCTAAGTAAGGAGAGATGCAGATCAGGCTTATACGAGTTGTAGACTAATGGGTGAAGAACAGTCTTGACTTTTTTAGTTGGAAGCACTATTCGAAAACCATGGATTGTGGATATCTGGTGTTGGTGACTGGATTTTTGAGGTCACATAACAGAAATGCTCTCAAGAATACGTCAATTTTCCCCAAGTATCCTAATATCCGAGAGCTATGAAATGGCTAGTAGTGGAGAGTGAATAGATCTTACTTAATTTAAAGTAGTACAATGCTATTTTTATAAAATGACAAAAATGCATTAATTGTACAAACTACTACCATACAAAGCGGTAGAAAATTCCTCCATCATACTGTTTCCTCCCTTACCTCATGGTTAATCTCAACCCCCGAGAAGATTCGTGGCAGTCTAAACCGGAGGGTGTCCTCTCACAGTTTTGGAGACGACACCAAAGGGGTTACGGTCGGTGGTCACATATGTTTGCTCCGGTACTCTGTGTA